TTCTTGAACGTTTGAACCCAATTTGAACCATCATCAGAATTGTTCCCATCACTGTCTCCATTTTTTTCCTCATGTCACAGCTGGTAAGTCATAATATCTAGACCAGAATCATTACCAGTGATCAGCTGTAGTTGAATTCAATAGTAACCACGAAAAAATAAACTGTGCATAAGGAATCTCAGTGACAACTGTGAGGTTCGAACTCACGCCCTTGCGGACTGGATTACGTAAGCAATTACCTAATTCCAGCGCCTTAGACCACTCGGCCAAGTTGCCATATATTCCCAGATCAATTTACAATACATATCAAGTATAGAGATGCTCATTGCCCCTTTCATACAATTGCAATTGACACAAGTCCAAACTGGTCTGACTCTTGCCTAACAGAACCACATCCTGTTCGCAATATTTTTTTCCCCTGGTTCAGGGTCAATCTACTAACACGTCTAACTAGAGATTCTTTAGGTCTTTTCTTGCTCTCTTCCAATTGCACGAGCAGAGGAATTTGGAGGAATACATGTCGGGATAATCTCGGAATTTTTATGTATGTACCCTGATATTCTGCTCATATTTTCCTGGTTCCAAGTTGGACAAGACGAGATGTCTGTTGGCAAGGGATATTTTCGTCCAAATCCAAATCCCGAGCCCAGGCAAGACCCGTTGACCACACCCCACCCCTGGCCCAGCACACAAGTATATCCTCGTGGGGACACCTGCATGAAGTATTCAAATTAGTGCGGCAGTGCGTGGCACAGAACTTGAGAGCCACTGGTGGTTGGGTTGCCTTCAATTGGTGCGTTGTCCACGAGTCTCAAAACGTGTTTGTTCACAGCTTAATGTTATAAATGGCATTCCATTGTTCTTTTTGACAGAATAGTGTAGCAACTTGAACTATAAAGACCTTGTTCTGGATGATGTTCTTCTGCAACCACCCAATTGCCTCCTCAATTATTCCATCTCTCCACTCAATCCAATGTTCACGGACTATTGGGATTGGGGGCTTCCCGAGATTGCCGTCGTAGAAGACGAACAATCTTCCTCATTACCACCATTCACCAGTGTCTACCGCATAGTAACTAAAAGTCCGTCCTCGGAGACAATTAAACCTAAAGCTGCGAAAAAGAAAGAAGCACCAATCTTCCAAAAACCGAAGTCGAAACCTCCGACTGCCCCTGCGCTACCATTAACCCCCGATATAAAGTTACCCTTCGATTGGGCATCAACGTCAACAGCAGTCGACAACATGTGGCGGTCTAGCCTTCCACGAGCCTCTAACCTGCATGAAGACTGCAGGGATCTCATCTTCTCCTGCGACGTCAAAAACATTTGCATGGAAGACCTCCTCGATCATGTCGTATACCACCAAATCAAATCGAAGCTCCAATCATCAGCCTCTTGGATGGGACGTGAGGATGCGAAAAGTGGGCGTCACAACTGCCAGCAACAGAGCGGTGCCACCCCAGTGACACCACTACTTGTACGACATATCATTGTCAATACTAGCAGCGATGAGGATGAGTATCAGGTTTTTGGCGATAAACGGGAGTTGCATGTTGCTTTCTTGACTATGATTGCGAGAGAATGCAGGATTACGACGGTTTCGACGGATAGGATGACTCCGCATCAATTGGGAATGTATCGACAAGTGGCAAACCAGCTTGAAG